GTTCCTTCCAATGTAGACAATCCGAATGATATAGTTTCTTTCCACTCTGTTCCTGTTAATGATAAACTACAAATTTACCCTAAATTACTAAAATATCGATATTTTAATATGAGAATCGATTCTAGAACATAAATGACTGGTATCGGAGGAATGATATTTCAGTATCAATCTGCACATCACTAGATGGAACCAGTTGGGTTAGGGGCTTATTCAAACTAAAATGGTGTCATGTCTAGAGCAGGTGAGCAGGACTCAGAAGTGGGACTCGCATCTAAGAATTAGAGGGTTTATTCACAGATAAAAAGAAGAGTACCTACTGGGGAAACTGGGACCATGTCAGATGGATTTTTCGTCATGTTTTTACCTTTAATGTCAACAAACGGTTGAGAAGAGAATGTCCACAATTTAACCTTTAATTACAGGAGTAGTCTGAGCTGATGGTAGTTTTGTTCTAATAATTAAGAGAGGGGTTAGGAAGAGAATGAGCACACCTTGGCCATCAACTTTCTGTCATGGTCCGCGGCCCGGCGTCCGAGGTGCTGATGGGATGCCCACTCCCGTGGGCGTGGCTGCTAACTCCACACCTGCATCCCATCCCGGGCGATCACCAGGTGGACTATTTAATCCTGCCCAGCCTGCTGCTCCACGCCAGTCCGTAGTCGTCCTTCAGCGGTAACGTACACCTGCGGGAAAGCCCTTATGTAAACCTATCCGTGTGAACTAACACTAACTCTGCCTTGTATACTCAGCGATCACAGCTCGGCGTGTTTGAGCCACCAGCCTGTCCACCTGCCTGTCCGGAATTTGGATCAACATCAGCCCCAGCCGCCTCGACCTTTCTGAAGGCCTCTCCCCACGGACCCTCACCCCTCCCTCCGGTTCCCTCGGCCCCGCTATCATCGTAAGACGCGTACTCTACTTCCCTTCGTATGCTGCCGTTTTCCCGCACCCCAATAATCCTTTTTTCCTTTTTCTGTTCTCTCTTTTCAGTCTCAGCTGACTGCAGGTTTCCCCAATCTTATAAAAAGTACATTTGCATAATGACTGAAACTAGCACCACTGAAGGAACAATGGCCTGGGAGATCAGTTCCTTGATCATTAATATGCAAATTCTCATGACCATTGATAAAAAACCAATGATCAAAGCTCACTGATCAAAGACCACTGATCAATGGCCTTGAGTACCATTCAGAGAGAGTTGGGGAATCGCTGCAATCACAGTATTGTAAGATGGTGAAAGAGATGGTGCTCGGGCCAGCCAGAGAATCCCCGTCGCCCCGCCCCTCTCCTCCATGTGCAGAAAGCAGCAGGCGCAACAGACTCACCACGCCAAAATGCAATGGCATGATATCGGGGAAGCATGCGTACGAGCAACTTTTTTTTGTTGTTGATGCCATGATGCCACCCCCACCACAATACTGCTCTGGGCTCCCACCGATGTCGCCCATATCAATAACTGCCACAGGTGGAAAACTCTGCAACTGCACAAAAAACATGTTTGTCTTTTTTAAAAACTCCGTTCTGATAATGCACTGACTTGGACTCATATACAACTGTACCTCTGATTTCTGTTTAAAATACTGCTGGCTGGTTCATAACCATTGGTCCTAGTAATATTACTTGTACTAAATATGTCGGATTATTAATTTTTGCCCTTGACAACCGACCATGTTGCCCATTTCAAAAACTGCCACTGGGTGTGAGAGCCCAACCAAAAGAAATGATTGTCTTCTTGGTTTTCCTTCAAGGATACCCATTACCCAATGTGGCACTCAAAGGAGAAGCTGCCCAGTCATCTACACTCTCTTTTGCCACTGCGTCCAAAGCCATCGATGGCAGACGGAACTCGTTCTATAGCAATGGGTTCTGTAGCCACACGGCTGAAGACGAGACCAACCCCTGGTGGAGGGTGGACCTGCAGCGAAGCTTTAC